ATACTTAAACCGAGTGCTGCTGTCTACGTCATTATTTCTCTTGCGCAATGCGGTGATGACAGAGCATTCACCTCCTCCCCTAGTCTAACCTTTGTCGTGTCTTGTGACTGTGGTATAATTGGACAGCTTAACTTCATCAAAAGGACGATTGTTTGTTGTCTCAGCTAAATCGAAACACACAGACGCGATGAAAGTCAGCCAGTGCCAAAGTAAAACTAAACTCACATTAAACAATAAATATGGACAAAGAGGATGCGTTATCACGTACTGCATAATATGTATGCATGTATACACACACACTCACACACACACACACACACACACACACACACACACACACACACACACATACACACAAACACATACACACAAACACACACACCCATATATATATTTATTGTAAAGAGAGAGACAGACAGAGATAGAGAGATAGATAGATAGATAGATCGATAGATAGATAGACACACAGAGAGAGAGACAGAGAGAGACACAGAGAGAGACACAGAGAGATAGATAGATAGATAGATAGATAGATAGATAGATAGATAGATAGATAGATAGAGAGAGAGAGAGAGAGAGATTTTTAAAAAATTGCTTTAAAGGAGTGGAAAGAATGTCCCAGCCAACACGAGGAATTATGCACTTATTAACCACCACTGCATGTCAATTCCTTCCTTCTGTTCATCTGTATCGATTTTAAACATTTTTATAGGCCATACAACTGCCGACTTTGCAAAGGAGGTGGATCAAACCTCATACTAATTTTCATACAGCAAATTTTGCTACACCGCTGCAAATACTGTGCGATGTTAAAGAACTATAAGCTATTTTTTTAAAGTTTGGTTTGAATACACTTCAAATTACTTTAAAGTTTTACTCAAAATAGGCCAATCATTTCTTTCTTCTTGTATTGGCGTTACTGAGAGTAGTTTTCACGATTGTATGAGAGTTTGAGGACATTTATGAAGCTTTTCAATTGTTTTATGAGGATTTATTTTTGGAAAAATGCAACTGTATTTAAATCGAGAAAACCTACTGTTCATTCTGTTTGTTTCTTCTTTCCTATTCTAAACATTTCGGCAGCTCTTTTGTCAACTTAGTGAAGCTCTTCGGCAGTGAGAAAAGTGATGTAGTGTTTCCTTGTTAAACAAATCCCTGAATCTAGCTATACGTGAAACCTTTAATAACAGATGAATAATCAAGTTAATGTAAATTGCATTTGAAGATCTAGAGTGTGTCGAGGGTGTACGGATATCTCAGTTGGCGTCATACTGGACTACGAGGTCAAGACATAAACAGAAAGAACTCATCGATGTCTGTGGGGAAGCGTTTAGATGTGGGTTCGGTTGCCATGCGGGGATAATGTTTATCGAATATTTCACTGTTTCTTCGTGAACAATGTACCCTTCTCATCCCGGGTTGGTCTTGATAGGACAAAAGCCCGCGTCCAGAAGGATGTAAATTGTGTTAATGGGTGCATTAAAACACCTACATAGAAAACTAACCAAAGTAATCTACCAGAAATGGGAAATTATCTAACAGGACACACGTGCTGCCGTGATATTTCCTATGGTATATTGTATCTGTTATCTGTTTATCCATTTTACCCTTTTACTTTCTTTGTAAGAGAGTTAAGTCACCAAGCCAAGTCACCATCATTGAAAGGACGTGTCTGTATCAAGTAGGCGTTGAAATCATACTTTCCTTCCACCGCCCTTGAAAACAAGAACCAAACCTAAGGAAACAAAACGATAGCAAACATTCCAAACATTTCCCCTACTCCTTGATGTTGGAAATGCGCATGTGGAGGTGAGCTGCTTCGACCCTGCCTGTCAGAGGCAACCTGGGCTTTGAGGGATAATGCACATCCTAGTAGAGAGGCAGAGACGCTCGATATAATAAATCTCACGACAACCGAACATGTATTATTTGCATGCAAAGCAAAAAGTCAAACGAAACATAATCAGATGCAGATCCAAACGGTTAATTTAGTATCAGACACTGAACTTGACATATACATTTTATCATGCCATGGCTAAGCAAAGCCAAAAATTCTAATGTTAAAAAAGTGAGGAAGATAGACGGTGTTGCAAAGTAAACGTGACAAATTTTGATTTTTGTATTATGTTTACAATTGTCTGGAAATAATATTATTATACTCTCGAGACAATCAGGGAATATTATATCAATATCCAGCCAAACTTGACACTGTGTCGTGAAGTGTAGAGGGAAACATGATAAAAAATAATATTTAAACGTATAATTGCATTAGATGGTCAGAGGCAGCCAATGTAGGTCATGAAATATGGAGAAGAGAAACGGAGAGATGTGTAGACAGAGATAAGAGAGTAAGAAAGAAAGAAAGAAAGAGAGAGAGAGAGAGAGAGAGAGAGAGAGAGACAGATAGAAGGAGAAGAGACATCTTTAGAGACAGCGAGACGGAGGGAGAGAGAGGGAAAGAGAAGGAAAGGGAGACACAGAGAGAAGAAGAACAAAAGAGAGAGGGAGAGAGGGACAGAGAGAGAGAGGAAGAGAGAGAGAGAGAGAGAGAGAGAGAGAGAGAGAGAGAGAGAGAGAGAGAGAGGGTTCGTGGAGAGGATGTAGAGAGAGAGAGAGAGAGAGAGAGAGAGAGAGAGAGAG